TGCTGCTGCTGCTACTACCACTGCTACTTCTTTTCTGCGCCTACTACGACGACGACTACTATTGCTTGCGACTACCACCACTGCTACTACTACCACTACTACTACGACTACTACTACTCCTCCTCCTGCTGCTGCTGCTACTACCGCTGCTAGTTCTTCTTGTATTGTTGCCACGGAGAGCATGTAGCCTGTGACTGCTACAGCCAACGATGTGATCATGCGGTTTAACATGTCCTCGGCTGAACAAGACCGAAGCCCGTCCCTGAATCAATGATCTAGGAATCTAGGTGTTGCCTTTGTTCAGGCGTTGTCTTGGTGATCTCTTGAGGTTCAGGAAACCCTGCAGGGGTCATGGGAAGGAGTCACCCCTTCGGAGCCTTTGCTAGACGGCCTTAGTGGCCACAGGGTTGCGGTCGGGTCTTATTCCGGGTCTGCTTTGTTGTTCAGATGCCACCTCGATGTGAAGGCTGCGTCAGAAGAGGAGGAGACCGCAAGCGACGAGAGCGATGACGAGGTCGGAGCATTGCAGCAATCTAATTAATCTGAATCTTATCGGGCTGCTCCATCTGAACGTCCGCTTGCGCAGGTTACACAAACGCAGACGCACCTGCCCGAAACGGAGCCCACAATGCTCCTTCAACACCCCAAAGCGTCCCCAAACCCTGTTAGTAAAATCTCAAACCCAAAACCCTAATTAGTGCACACTGGAGCCTCAGTTGATTGGGTGCAGCCACAGGTCCAACCCGGGAGTCGCCCGCGAGTGGCGGCTGCAGGACTTTGCACCACAGCCCAGGTGCCTTCAAAAGTGTAGTATACGATGTGCTCTCTAAATACCCTATGCTAGATGCATCTAAGATGCATCTAGTATAGGGTATTTCGAATCTATATAGCCTATACTGCCTATACTATATGCTGTACTTTACGATGTTAGGAGTTCGGGAAGGTTTCTCTGCAAGTTTGCTCCTGCCTGTTCCCAGGGTCCTAGAGGTTAGCACGACGCTCGCACAGCTGGGTTGCCGTTACCGATATAGTGTTGTGACTGGGCTACATGCTATCTGGTTCGTAGCCTCCTGTTTAAGGAACTGGAGCCCTAGGGCTATTCAGAATCGGACAGGACATGCATGCCTCATCGCAGTTGCGTGAGCCGTTGACGATCCCTTTGCCTGCACAGGTCCCATTCGCAGGCCGATATACATGTGAGGGTTTCCGACAATAGGGGACCCTAATATAGTACCCTAAATAGTAGGATCCTTATTATAAGGATCCCCAAATAAGGTACCCCTTATTTTGGGAAACTCCCACATGTGGATCCTTAGGATCCCGTTTTGTTTTTGTCTCCCGGCTCCCGCTCTCTTTGTCTGGTTCTCTGTGCTTGGGCCGCCGACACCTTCGATGAAACACACCCATAGGCCCCTAAGTAGTTCCTTTTTATGGTTTATATTTAGAATCCTTTAAGGTAATCCCAAAAAGGAACTACTCAGGGGCCTATGGGCAAAGCCTCCAGGCTCAAGCCCTGGGCGAAGCTCCGAAAGAGGCCGCTTTTCGGCAAAGAAGGGCCGTTGTGTGGGGGGATTTCGTTTCTTTAATGAGGGGTCGTCATGATCTTCTAGCTCCTACTAATGACCGAGTTGTTGTTTTTTACTTGGTCGCCCTTCTTTTCTGAAACTCCCATGTTATATGATGTGAGGTTAGAAGATTCAATCAGATACTGTCTGTCACCTGGCGATGCACAAGCACTCACTCTAAGACTCTGAGGGGTTTGCCTGTCGGGATGAGGCTGCTAGTCCATGTGTTATAGTTCGACACAAAGACTTCAGATAAA